GGCCCTAGGTATGATTGAAAAATGCTAAGTATGAGAAAGTTATGCCACCTCAAGAGAAGAGCCATGTGCATGATTGGGAGATCCATGGCCGTGTCACGAAAGGGGCCATGGACGCAAGGCCTCAGATCATACTTCAAAGAAGACAAAGATATTCTAAGTGTGGAGAAGGACTTGTCGCTTTAACGAGGAGGGTCATGTCCGTCTAGAGATCGAGAAGGTCATGCCGTGTCACAAGAGGGGTCATGTGCACGATTGAGAGGTCCATGCCGCCTCATGAGAGAGGCCATGGACACAAATAAAAAGGGTGTGGTGATGGAGCATTATACCACTAGTGAATATGTCTCAAGAGGTCCACGACCGTTAGACAAGAAGGCCATGGACATGAGTAAGAAGTCCATGGCCGCGAGGCAAGAAGACCACGACCCCCTTTGTGAGACACCACATGCTTATCAAAAGACTAGCATGACACAAGATTCAGAACAAGACCAGGCGAGGCAAGCTACACTCCAAGACCCACGACGGTTACAAGAGAGGCCCCTAGGCGGTTGAAGGAGTAACCACCACTCCGAGGAAGCAGGGAGCGGTTCTTTTTGGGAGTTATCCAAGAGGCGGTTTTCTATCGAAGAAGGGGGAGCGGTTCTTAGTAGCAGTTATCCAACAAGCGGTTTTCTATGGCGGTTACCTCATCGGGGCTATAAATAAGAGGAGGGGTCGACAGAGAAAAGGGGTTCAAAAACCAACACTCTGACACACATGTCAAATTTATCCTTTACCTTTTCTCTATCATGTAGCCATAGATGTAGTTCGTAGTTTGGAGCTCTCGCCGAACCTCCATAGGAGTAGAAGTAATTTAATTTAGATCTCGTTCCCAAAAATCATCAATCAAACACCCTCGTTCGAACTTTGTTTGAAGAGGTGTGAGCCGTGTCTTAGAAATCGTTGTCCATAGAAGTCAAAGGTGCAATCCATCTCAATTCGACAAGAGTTTTCTCGCCGGGAAACAGGAGGTTAGACTACAAGGTTGGTTAAGTCGCGCAAATTAAAAATGATATTCGACCACATAGTCCATTATGCTAATTATATGAACGATCAGATTGATCACTTTTGTTTCTGTGAAAATATGGGTGGTTAGTTTGTAGAGTTGTGCAAGTCTCACGATAGATAGTTTGTGCAAAGATATTTAAGATTACAGAAATGGAAAGAATGAACATAAAAATGATGATATTCAATAAGCACGAATATATTTTGAGTTACTAAAAATTCAAAATGTAGAAAAAGGTTACTCATTCATGACTTAAAATGGACTTTTTATCGTGGTCCATGAAACCGTACTGGACACCGTACCGGAAAAGTCAGCGGTAGGGTATTTTATTGCAAAACTGTGATTTAACAGTAGTTCAACCATTAATACCGTTAAATACCGCCTACCGATTTAGCCTCCGATACTGGTATTTTGTGGTAGAACCGTCGGTACAATACGGTTTCATGGACCATACTTTTTATAAAAAAAAACATTCAATTTTGACTCCTAAACCGTATAGTCCTATTTTCATTAATGATAGACCACTAAACTCCTAGATTCTAAATCCCCAAACTTTGAATCTTAACAACCAAAATCATAAACCCTTCAAAAACAAAACAACACAAAACTGCCTAAATCCTAAAATCGCGTCAAACCACAATCAAATCAAGGTTCTGATCATCGGGCTTTGCTTCTTTCGGATAAACCTTACATCCGTCGGCGTCGCCCTCTGGTTCGTTTTGATGCTAGATGGGCGGATAATCCGGAAGTCAAGGCTATGGTGAAATATGTTTGGAGCGAAACCATCTAGGGTACTCCAATGTTTCAATTATGGGAGCGATTAAAAAAACTTCGGCATTTGCTCTACGATTGGAGCAGAGCGGGTACCACGAATTCCCTGCGTAATATACACACCTTGCAAATTGAGATTGATCGGGTTAAATCCATTCATCCTATTGATTGGCAAGAGGTGAATGGACTTGAATCTGAGTTGAACAGACAATGGGAAGCTGAAAAATTTACTGGCAGCAAAAGTCTCGGGTACGGTGGCTGAAAAGGGGGATAAAAACTCTTCATATTTTCACACGGTCACAAGGGCCAGACGTAAGCAGAATTTTGTTGCTGGTTTGTATAATGAAGAAGGGGATTGGATCACGGAGGAACCTGGGAAAGCTGATATTGCCACCAATTTTTATCGTACCCTTTTCACCTCGGAAAGCCAGGTGGCAAACATGACTGCGAGAGTGGGTGAGTTACCCATTGATCGTTGTGTCACCCCAGCAATCCTCCTATTAATTCTGATAGTAGGATTACTATTTCAATCTAATGATTATTATAATAATTAGTATGATGCTCATCCTTGAAGAGTTATCACCTAATCTCATTTCATATAAGGTAGATGCCTTTATCTAAAATAGCTTAAATTTCTATATAAATATCCCGCTATAATTTGTACATGTGGGTTACACCATCAAGGATATATAGCTAAGCAGCACCATATTAATCTCTTTTTAAAGACTAAAGAGAAGAGACCACCGGTGGACTATCATGACTCTCTTTTCAAACTCCATCCAACAAAATGTCATTCAAAAGTATAATGCATGTGTCAAGAAAATACAGAGATCGATACAAGGCAATTTTAAAGCTTGATCAACTTTTGTCAGTTTCAAAGTTTGCAGTAAGTGTCTATAAAAAATAAAAAAAGAAGTTTGTAGTAAGTGCATGTATAATACCATGCATATACCATATATAAAGTGCATCTTAATTGACTTCTAACTGGATAATGAAAATTGGAAGTGGGCCAGAACTACCATCGGGAGAATTGAGGGGAGAAAGAAACAAAAGAGGAACAAAATTAATTATGAGATAATCATTCCAAATTGCAAAAGGCAATGGGAGGAGGGGACTAGGTAGCTAGATAGCTTTTCTCTCAACCTCATCATATCTGTCATCATGCACCTTTGTATCAAAGAATGAAAGGAGGTAAGAGGGAGTGGGAGGTGGAAGAATATTACTATGACTAGTCGGACTCTAGAGATTCAATTCAACCAACAACTCAGCTATGGGAACGTGTTAGGATGGTTACTAAATTTTTAGTAGCCACTTTGGCTACATCAATATCCACCATCTATTTTTTTTTTCTTATTTTTTTAATCTCACAGTTATGATTGCTCGAAGATAATTTTGGAAACAAAAAATAAACCACACTAAATTATTCTATATATACACAAACCCTAATTCTACCCTCCTCCTTCCAGCCAAACACATGCTCACTGGCCGCCTCTCCCCTTCCCCGCCGTCCCTCCCTCTCTCCCCCCGTCATCCCGTCGTCCCTCTCTTCCTCCTCCACCCCTCCCTCCTTCCTCCCCCTCCTCTCCTCTCCCCTCCCCATCCCACCCCACCCCCCTCCTCCTGCCGACCCACCCCTCCCCCCGCCAACCCCATCCCACCCCACCCCCTCCCCCCGCCGACCCATCCCTCTCCCCTAACCACCCACCCCTCCCCCCTTCGTCCATCTCTCTCTCTCTCTCTCTCTCTCTCTCTCTCTCTCTCTCTCTCTCTCTCTCTCTCTACTCGACAGCAGGGAGGAGTCGATGGACAAGCGACCTGAACCGCGGAGGTCGTCAAAACAATCGACGGCACTGTTCATCCTTTTATTTCCGACCCTCTCGCCTCAATAGTATTGTTTTTGTTGCATTGGTATTGATTTTGTTGCATTGGTATTATTTTTTCTGCATTGGTATTTATTATCATGTAATGGTAGTAATTTGCATGTACTGGTATTGATTAAATCTGCAATGGTATTGATTTTTTATGAAATAGTATAGATTTATATTGGTAGATTGTTTATATTGGTAGTTTTCGTGTAATGGTACAGATTTATTTCTGCAATGGTATTGATATTTTTCAAAATGATAGTGGTTGTCTAGTGGATTGGTAGTGATTTCGTGTTTTTTTTCTTTTGCAGAAAGATTGAGAAAAATAAGGAAAGAGGATCTGGCTGGATATTATGGAAGTGAGAGAAAGAGAGAGAATTGTAATTAATAGATTCTTGTAACTATCTAATTAATAGGTTACGGTGATTACTACTATAAGTAGTAATCACCGTAACCTATCCCCTCGGCTATGTGCTCTAAGCCGTTACCGCTGAACTTAGCTCCAGCTAGTATTTATATTGACAAGGATGCAGTAGGGGATACTAGAACGTTTCATATTTTAATTTTGAGTTTGTTGAGAAAAACAAAATTTTGATATAAGAGAATAAAAAACCGATGTTTTCACAATCTTAGCATGCAACGACCTTACACATCTGTGAGTACGTTTTCATAAATATAAGGGTAAATACAATTGAATATCCAAACCTTTCATTTTAAACAATATAATAGCCAAACCTTTTCGAAAACAATCTAATATCCAAATCGTCAACTTTGCATTCGTTTGACCGTTAGTTGACACTTCAAAAAAGTTTTGTTTAGGGAAAATTGTCACAATACAACTTTGTTTCTTGTTTTGGCATTGCAGATGACTGAATATTTAGATATTCTATACCATCATGGTGGAGTCATGGACTTCTCGGGTTTGGAACTACGATATGTTGGTGGTTTTTCAGAGAAGATATCGATGGATATTGATGAAGTGTCGTACTTCGAACTTTTTTGAAGTGTCAACTAACAGTCAAACAGACAGAAAGTTGACGATTTGGATATTATATTGTTTTCAAAAAGATTTGGCTATTATATTGTTTAAAATAAAAGGTTTGATTATTAAATTGTATTTACCCTAAATATAACGATCATCACTTAGCACCCAAAGTCTCAATTCAATCGCTCAAAATCTCCTCATCAAAAAAGCAAAGGAAAAACAATTTGAATGCACTACTCCACTTCCAAGCTCCCAACTTTCACTTTTCACCGCCCTGATTCCCAAGAAATACCCCCACCAAAATATAAAATAGAGAAAACATTGATTTATTATTCTATTCCACTAATCTGAAAAAAGCAGAGATTTATTAAAATGAGAAAAAGGAGGGACACAGACACCAGACACAGAGAGAAAGAGGAAGAGAGAGCATGGAATAAATCTCAGCGTATATCTGCCCCATGTTGTTAGGGTTGTGTGCTCTCAACTCTCAAGCCAGCCATTAACCCAAAAAGAGGAACAAGAATTCCATCATCATTAATACTCCAAAACAAACTCTTCTCCATAACCATAACCCACTTCTTTGCCCTTCTCAGCTGGGTTTGTCCTAACTTCATCATTGCAGCTACATACACCTAGCTTAGAAAAAAAAAAAAGAAGGTGGGAGATCAAACAGCCTATTTATAGCTAATCAAGCTTCCCCAAAAATAAACATATAAAGACGATTGACCATGCTGGCTGAGAAGATGGCAACCACTGAAGAAGCAACATCAGCAGCAATCCTCTCCACCAACAGCTTCTCTCACGATCACAACCCTTTTTCTGCTGGATCCAATCCTCCTCCTCCTCCTCCTCTCAATAAGAAGAAGAGAAACCTCCCAGGAACTCCAGGCAAGCCTAATACTTATCATGATCATGTTGTTATATTCAAAGTAGGGTCCAAAACTTTTGACAAAAAAAAAGTTGGTACATGCTAATTAATCGTTGTTGTTGTCTTGTCCAGATCCAGAAGCAGAAGTGATAGCCTTATCACCAAAGACGCTGATGGCAACCAACAGATTCCTCTGCGAAATCTGCGGCAAAGGGTTCCAGCGAGACCAGAACCTGCAGCTCCACAGGAGAGGCCACAACCTGCCGTGGAAGCTGAAGCAGCGGACAAGCAAGGAGATCAGGAAGCGGGTCTACGTCTGCCCCGAGAAGTCGTGCGTCCACCACCACCCTTCTCGAGCCCTCGGGGACCTCACGGGGATCAAGAAGCACTTCTGCAGGAAGCACGGGGAGAAGAAGTGGAAGTGCGACAAGTGCGCCAAGAGGTACGCGGTTCAGTCGGACTGGAAGGCTCACTCCAAGACCTGTGGCACTAGGGAGTATAAATGTGACTGTGGGACTTTGTTCTCTAGGTAAATTTTATAAACTCGATCTTCTTTCATTACTTCCATTCATTGTCACATGTTTTTAATTCATTGCTACAATAATTAGTGTTCAGTTTTCATACCGAAAATCTTCGAGGATAGATAGGAGGGGAAAAAGGTGGATGGTGATCTTTTGTGGTTGTGATGTGTTTGTCTATTGTGATGCAGGCGTGACAGCTTCATAACCCATCGAGCATTCTGCGACGCGTTGGCTGAAGAAACAGCGAGGATGAATGCAGCATCCACAATCTCGAGCTTGAGCAATCTGAGCTACAATCTAATGGGTGCGGTTCCACTACCCCACCATCACATGGCTCCACATTTCTCCTCTTTGTTCAAGCCAATCTCCATCAATGATCAGCAGCACCAGCAGGCAGAGATTCTGCTGAATCAAGAACCAAGGGGGACGATGGCCCTGTGGATGAGCCAAGCAGCAGCTGCTCCACCACACGAATTAGTAGCAGCGCTCCACGACCCATCCATAGGCAGCAATAGCAGCAGCAGCAACATGTTTGGGGATCACGCTCCTCTTCCTCCTCAATCCGAACATCATCATCATCACTACGATTTGAGTTGGCCAATTGTAGGATTAAACAACGGCAGCAGCAGCAACAACAAGAAGAGCAACAGTAGTGGTTGCATAACAAGTAGCACAACCAATGTGAGTGTTCCTTCATTGTACAGCACGCAAAAGCAGCAGCAGGGAGGAGGAGGTGTTTCTTTATCTTCGTCGTCTTCGTCACCATTGTCATCATCAGCAAACATGTCAGCCACTGCTTTGCTGCAGAAAGCTGCTCAAATGGGGGCAACTTCGACCGCTGCTGACCCGTCTTTCCTTGGAAGCCTAGGAATCACCAAGACCAGCAGCAGCACCAACAACAACAACAGTCATGTCAACAGTAGCCAAGCGATGGTTCAAGCAGATCAATACCATGGCAACAGATTTTGCGGGTTGTATGGTACCACTGATTCGAGTCATCATCAAAGTAGTATGGTCAGCCCATTTGGAAGTCTGTTGGAAAACTTCAACTCATCAGCTGCAAGAGTTGGTGCTCCTCACGATATACTGAAGCTGAATCATATTCAGCTTCAACATCAAAATCAGCAGCAGGAGCTGCAAGCAGCTATGTACCCAGCATGGAAAAGGCAGAAGACATTCCAGGGTAGTGAAGACTGTGGTGGTGGAGGTGGAGGAGGAGGGCAAACCAGGGATTTTCTTGGGGTTGGAGCAGCTGTTCATCAAGCCTTGTGCCACCCATCATCAATCAATGGATGGATCTAATATTCCTTTTTTTTTTGCCCTTTCCTTTGTCGGTTTTTTTTTTTAATTGTTTGAATATGAATGTTTTTTTTTATTGGAACTCCAAAGCAAAAAGCTAGTAATAATTACCAAATAATAAGTTGATTAAGTGCAAGGCGTTAGTATATACCTTGCATCAAAAGTAACATTATAAGAGTTTTTAGTTAATGGGGAAACTTTGCAGGAGGGGGGAAAAGGTGGCATTGAGTGCTTGATAATTGGGGCTAAAAAGTTATATGCTTAAAAAAAAAACCTTAAGGAGGAGAGGGAAAAAGCAAAAGAAGAAAAGCAATGTCGGAAGGTAGAATATTGGGTAGGGAAGATCCAAACCATTCAATCTTTCCATCCATGCATATTCATTCTTTGCTTGCTTGCTGAAAGTTTATCCCTTTTGATCCCCCAACCCAAAATATATTCACTACTGTCTATCTTTATTTTCTTCTTTTTGGCTCCCAACGCAAAATAAAAAGCAAAGAGGGGGACCGGAAGGGAAGACCAAATGAAAGAAGTGTATCTTTATACCTCCATTATTGCAAAGGCAAATGGGTTCCTCTGCTCTGCAGGTATAGTGTTTGTTTGTTAGGATTCTTTTTTGGGAGGGCCTAACCAAAAATAATTCATAACTAGATATACATAAGGAACATATCCACAACAAAAATGATAAGAAATCTAGAATGTTTTCCTTTCAAAAGCAGAGTTACGATTTACATTAACAACTTGGAAGTGTGCGGTTGGAAGCATGATACCGATATCAGGATACCAAATACTGTATCGATCAAATTTTATTTCATTAGTTTTAAAACGAATTATTTTGTGGGGTATCTTTGATAGGAGATCGTCTCAACCCATTTAGGCTTTGAATTTTTTTTATATATTCAATTTTTTTTTATTTTGCAAAAAGGAGAATTACGAAATTGTTGCTCACTCCAAACCAGTTAATAATGATCTATTCGGAATTACGAAATTGGGTGGTGAAACAGCCGAAAGTGCACGTGACTTCAATGGGATCGAAGGGTAAGGAAAAAGTGGAAGAGATGATTGAAGCTCGGGCTGAATCTAGTATGCAGGCCTTGGTTGTTGCGGAGTCTGTAATAGAGGAGCCTGCAGTGGTAGTGGATGAAGGGTGCAGCTCTGAGCCAGTGCCTGAGGATGATGGTTTTAAGGTTGTTACAGGGAGGAAGCACAGAGTTAGTGCTCCTGATCCTACGTCCAATGCAAAGAGCCCGTGGAATTTGTCATCTAATCAGAAGAAGGTACAACTGGATGATCATGCTTTTCCCTCATTGAGCAAGCCAGTTTGGAGAATGAGTATTGAGCCACCGCAGCCTGCTAAAGGTAGGGGGCGGGGCAAGAAGAAGAAATGAAGGTTTTCAGCTGGAATATCAGGGGCTTGAATGCTCCTGAGAAGCACTCTGCAGTGCTTAAGAAGATAAGTATACTCAAACTTGACATTATAGCTATTATAGAAACTAGAGTAAAGATAGAGAGTAGTCTGGATATAGTAAGTAGAAGTTTTGGTCATCTTAAACATATGAATAACTACCCCAAGTCTCCCAATGGTAGAATCTGGTTATTTTGGAAAGATGGAATTTCTGTTTCCAAGTTGGAGGATGGTCTGCATTTTATCAAAGTTCTTGTTGAAGGGGCAGAGAAGTTTATTCTGATGATTGTGTACAGCCCTAATAAAGAGGCTGATAGGTTGGGTTTATATAGAGAACTGCTGGCACAGAATGAAAATTTGATTCCTATGGCAGTCTTGGGTGATTTTAATGCTGTGAGAGATCCTGGTGAGACTTCTAACCTAGTGTCCTTAAATGCTAGTATGGGGGATTTTCAGAATTGGATCGAGGAGATGAGATTGGAGGATCATAAGGTTGCAGGCAGCAAGTTCACATGGTGGAATAAACAGAAAGAAAACCCAACAGCCAAACGCCTGGATAGAGTCTTGGTGAATGAAGCTTGGTTGAGTAGATTCCCAGCTAGTGTAGCCCAAACTACACCCCCTGGAGTCTCAGATCACTGTGGAATTTTACTTACCACATCTCCCCAGATTGGAAGCTTGCCAAAACCGTTTAAGTATTTCAAATTTTGGGCGAGCCATCCTAATTATATGAAGTTAGTGAGTGATGCTTGGAAGGTGGAAGTGGAGGGTCGGTCTTATTATGTGTTCTATGGGAAACTAAGGAGTGTTAAGAAGACTCTAAGGCAGCTTAATAGAGAGGTTTATTCAGACATATCTGTGCAGACAAGAGAAATGGAAGGAAAGCTGGAAAAGGTGCAGGTTGAGTTATTGCAGAATCCTACTGAGTTGCTTGTTGAAGAGGAAAGGGATTTGGCAAAGCACTGTCTTGAGCTCAAGAGGGCAGAAGAAAGTTTCTATAGGCATAAAGCTAGAGTTAAGAGTGTGCAGGAGGGTGATCTCAATACTGCTTATTTCCACAAGACTGTGAAGGTGCAAAATCATAGGAAGCAGATATCAAGGATCCTTGATGAGCAGGGGAAGGAAGTTACAGATATCAAAGGTATAGGGGAAGTGGCAGTGAAATTCTATACAGAGCTAATTGGAACAGTCAACCTGGATGTGCAGTTGCAACCTACAAGTTTCTATGATCATTTGCAATTGAGGTGTCTTACTCCAGAAGTGGCTGATACAATGATTACTCCTGTGTCAAGAACAGAGATCAGAGATGTTTTCTTCAATTTGGGGAGAAACAAAGCCCCTGGGCCAGATGGTTTTCCCTCTGAGTTCTTCAGGCTCCACTAGGATTTAGTTGGCACTCTTGTGGAGGATGTTGCTCTTCAGTTCTTCAGATCAGGGATTATGTCTCGGGCAGTTATCTCTACACTATTCACTCTGGTGGCAAAAGTAACTAATGCTGAGAAAATGAAGGACTTTCGTCCAATCTCCTGCTGCAATACCTTATATAAAGGAATCTCAAAGGTGTTAGCTAACAGGTTAGCTGCTGTCCTCCCTTTACTTATCTCTCCTTCACAATCTGCTTTTGTTAAAGGGCGTTCTATTAGTGATAATATTCTATTAGCAGCAGAATTAGTTAAAGACTACCATAGGAAAAATGTGACTCCTCGATGTGCGATTAAGATAGATATCATGAAGGCTTTTGACTCGGTTAACTGGGTGTTTCTGTTTTCTGTGCTTAAAGTTATGGGTTTACCTGTTCAGTTCATTGCTTGGTTAAAAGCTTGTATTCAGAATCCCAGAATAAGTGTTAGTCTGAATGGGGGGATATGTGGTTCTTTTGATATGGCAAAGGGTTTAAGGCAAGGGGATCCATTATCCCCTTACCTATTCACAGTAGCTATGGAAGTCTTGGATGCATTATTGAAGAGTGCAGCAGTGCAGAATCAGATACCCTATCACCCTAGATGTAAGCCACTGGCTATTACGCATTTGTGTTTTGCAGATGACCTACTTGTTTTTACAAATGGTTCGATCAGGGGGGTTGCAGGTATCTGTTGAGTTTTGGATGCTTTTTACTGTGTCTGGATTGAAGTGTAATCCTGATAAATGCCAGATGTTTTGTGGGGGTATCCCAGAAGAGGAAAAGCAAAGAATATCTACATACTCAAAGTTCCCAAATAGTCTTCTACCAGTTCGTTACCTTGGGGTGCCTTTGATTACTGGGAAGCTTACCAAGGCTGAGTGTAGGGTGTTGATTGAGAAGATTACAGGGAAAATTAATAGTTGGAGAGCAAAATTTCTTAGTTTTGCAGGCAGGTTGCAACTGATTACTTCAGTACTTACAAGTGTTTTACAATTCTGGATGGGGGTTTTTCTGTTACCAAAGTATGTGATAAAAGAAGTAGAGGCTATATGCAGCAGGTTCCTTTGGGATATTAGTGATACCTCTCTAAGAAAAAGAGCAGTAGTGGCCTGGCAGTCCATTGCTAGGCCAAAAAAGGAAGGGGGTTTGGGTATAAAGAACTTTTCAGTTTGGAACAAGGCCTGTGTTTGTAGGCATCTTTGGGCGATTCTGGCAGCAGAGGGTTCTCTATGGGTTGCCTGGGTTACACGTTATAGGGTGAAGCAAGTTTCTGTCTCGGATCTGAAAGACACAGCAGCAGGGACCTAGGTCTGGAAGCGGTTACTCAAATGTAGGGATGTGGTAAGGCCATTCATCTCTGTGATTGGCTCTGAGTTGCAGTGGGGTGGACAGGCTATGCAGTCTTACTGTTTCGAGGGTGTGGCAGTCGTTGAGGCAGAAGGAAGCTGAGGTCAGATGGTTTAAGGTTGTGTGGGATAAATATATCATTCCTAGGCATGGATTTATTTTATGGTTGGTGATTAATGATAGGCTGAAACTGCAGAATAAACTGATCGCGTGGGGTGAGCCACTTTCAGGGCATTGTCTATTATGTCCTGGAGGAATGGAAGATCGAGATCACCTATTCATGGGCTGCTCTTATTATCAATTTCTGAGTTGTAAAGTTTTGAAAGAGGAATCACCTCCTGTGCTTGGAAGCTGGAATGCTGTGTTGGAGTGGTGTATTATGAAGTGGGCGAGTGATTCTCTTGTTCATTCATTGAATAGAATGAGCTAGAGTGTCCTTATCAGCCTTGTTTGGCGGGAGAGGTGTGCAAGGTTATATGGCTCTGTGGCAGCAAGGAGTCCTTCTCAGCTTCTGGTTGATGCAAGGAGAATTCTTAGGAGTCGTTGTCTTTTGAACCAATGCTTAGTTGATTGCTTTGAAGCGAGGGGACTTGGGGTAGACAGTTAGCAAGTTAGGCTTGTTTTCAGTTTTGTTGAGTATCTCTGTGAGGTTATGATGTACAGGATTGTAAGTTTTTCGATGGCTCCATAGCACTTTGCTATTGGTGTCGGTTCTTAATGCAATTTGATTTAACCATAAAAAAAAGAAGGAGATTATTAAGCAACCCAAATTTTATTCAAACCTCACACAACACACAGTACAAGTAGTGCAGATACGCACATGACACGAACAAAACAGTACATGAAGTAGAAAGCACCCAGATAAGATAGAGCTTCCTTCATGATCAAGGCCCAAAAAAATTAAACGCACACAAAGCCCAGCTCGATCACAGCATAGGCTTTAATTTCACAAAACCCAATAAACAACAAACAAACAAAAAAAAGGATTGAAAATCAAGCTTCATAGCCCATATAGGCGTTGAGGCTCAGTATCCAAGATGGAGCGAACGGGGGAGAGCAGCACGGATGGGCCGGGCCCGGTGCTGAACCTTCGGGCTGGGCTTCTCGAGGAAGGCAGTGAACCAGCAAGCAGAATCCTTTGGGTACCTTAGCAGTTTGTCTTTGTAGTCGATGTAATACAGCCCAAACCTGTAAGTGTATCCATCACTCCACTCATAGTTGTCCGCGTACGACCACGCAAAAAACCCTTTCACCGTCACGTTGTAGTTCCTGCGTCCATTTGGTGAAAGAAGAAAGGAAAAGGAAAAAAAAATATAAAAATAAAGCAAAAGGAAAAAGAAAAAAAAAAGTGGTAACGTATTGGAGAAGCAACTGCTGACCTGATGGACATGAGGAGATTCTGGAGATGAGAATGGTAATAGTCGATCCTGCGCTGGTCCTTTATGGCCTCTTGGATTGGTTTCGAAGGATCATCTTCATCGGATACTCCTAATAATTATATCATTATTATTGTTATTAATAATTTATTATTGAAAAAAATTAACCCTTGTAACAAACTAATTAATTATACAGTTACCGTTCTCGGTAATATAAATAGTTGGGTTTCGATATATGTCCTTCGTATAGTTCAATAGGTATCGGAACCCCTCGGGATATATGTACAGCCATCGGGAAGCCTATAAAATATCGGTAATTATTATCAGACAACGTAATCAGTATCAACAAGCTAGTCAAGTATTATTCTTTGTTGTAAAAAAACTTAATAGAGGGTTATACCGGTTCCCCAATAGGCTCTCCATTTCTCCAAGCTAATAACGACGCAAAACAAACAGAATAAATTAAACATTATCGTCGGATCGATCAGTACGTAATTCTATTAGTGTATAGTTTAACGTAATTACGAGTAACAACGTACCATCCATTATAGCTCCGGAATCGGTTCGATACCGAGGATGATGTGGATCAACATCAGGATTGTTTTTGGAGTAATAACCGGTGTAATAATTGAGGCCGAGAAAATCATAGGAGCCTTTGAGTAACTTGGATTCTTCGGTTGTGAAATTGGGCAGACGGGATCCAACCAGATCGATCATAGATCTTGGGTAATTGCCGTATGTAATGGGATCCATATACCTAGATCGAGGCAAGCAGTAGTTCTCCTGAAGCCCACGCTCAAGAAAGAAAGAAAAACCATAGACTCAAGTCATATTCATAAATATATATATACTCACCATCCATACATAAAGTCCATGCTTCTTTGGGCTGCATCAATGTCTTCAATTTTGTCAGAGTAAGGCTCAAACCAAAACGTGCACAGAGTCATGCCTATTTCTCCCTTCTGCTCCCTCTGTCAATCGTACGGAACGATGAGTGAACTGATGAACGTTTTGGTATTCATGAAAACGCAAGTGTGAGAGGTTTGCATCAGGAAGGAACCTGATATTTCTGGCGGTAGAGTTGGACAGCGGCAGCATGAGCAAGAAGAAGGTTGTGGGTGACAATGTAAGGCTCCACAGCTGAGTTCCCAGCGCGGCAGGCTCTGTCGACCCAGACGGAGCAACGGCCGGGTGCAAACATTCCTTCTTCGTAACCTTTTATGGTGTAAGTCCAGGGCTCGTTCAGAGTGATCCACTTGCTCACTTTGCTGCCGTATTCTTCGAACAGCAGATCAGCAAAATCTTTGAAGTCGCCCCTGCATGCAAAAAAAACATCATCAACCATACGAATCATCGTTCGTGCATGTCACACGTGTGTAAAGAGCAAGCTCTGCAGGGTGTGTGTGTGTAATATACTCACACAATGTCACGGCTTAAGAAGCCGCCATACTCGGCTTCCAAGGCCTGTGGGGTAGTCCAGTGGAAGATTGTAACATAGGCATCCATGTCTGCGTGCATTGCAAACAATGCGATTAATTAGGCCAATTCAATTCTTTGGTAATGAAAGATACGTTTGAGTGAGTGAAAGGCTGACACAGCAGAGTTGGGGGAAAAATAAAATTTAAACCTTGTTCGTCGAGCAGGTCGAGGATTCTGTGGTAGAACTCGATTCCTTCTTTGTTTACTCCAGTACTCCTCTTGCCATCTGATTTTGTATAGTATGTGTAGTACAGCCAAAATGTGATCAAAATTCATCAATTAACAATATTCTTGTATAGTTAAAAGAAGATGATCAACTTACATGGTATAATCCTGGACCATGAGATGGAGAACCTGTAGGCGTCCATGTTCATATTTTTCATCCTAATTATGTCCTCCTCGAATCTGTGGTAGTGATCAATGGCGACGTCTCCACTGCTCCCATCGGCAATCCTCTCTGCAGCATATATGTATATATATATATATATAGATCGATCAATACATTAGTATTTGAGTAGGGGCTGAAACAAAGGTTTAGGGACAAAAATGTTGAAGAAGAAACAACGAACTAACGGAATTATGAACAATTATTACCTGGGAAATCGTGGGTGAATCTGTCCCAAAGGCTTGGTCCCCTGCCGCTGGTGTTGGCTGCACCTTCAACCTGGTAAGCCGCAGTGGCTGTCCCAAAGACGAAGTCCGGAGGGAAAGAGAAACGGTCGGTGGGAAGGGTAGTTGGTGCAACGTAAGGATACTGACTGCAATCGCGGACACCTTTCTCTCCTCGGAGCAGCAATGGGTTGCCAGCAGTGCTGCTGCTACTGCTAATTATTTCTGCAGTTGCCAAGCTCGTGGCTACGACGAGAGCGGCATTGATTAGGGCTACTACCAGGCCTCTGCGGAATACGAAAGCCATGGCGGATCGGAGGGGGAATAAGGGAAGGGGAAGTCTTTGGTTAGCTAGGTTTCGGAAAGGCAATGGTATGATGGCTATAGCTATGGTGTTGTGAAGAGTGCAAATTTGCAGTGGGCTAGCTGCCCCTTTATATACAGTTTGTGGTGAAGAAGTGAGGTTAGGCTTTTTGGCACTCTTGAATACGTACGTTCGCATATATGCTGCATGCACTCGCCTCATTAACGTTCTCTCTTCGACTAATTTAGTTTGTTAAGTCCGAAAGAAGGATGTAGTCAAATACTTTTTCATCATTGCAACATGGTAACGACTAGCCTACTTTTTGGAGTATACAATATTTCAAGTATTCTGATGGTTCACAAGTACGAAACCGACCTTATCTGACAAGACGCTTTTTGGGGTGTAATGGAGGAGTTCTTGTGAGAACTCTGAAGTTAAACGTGCTCAATGTGGAGTACAACAAGGATAGGTGACCTTATGGAAAGTCACCTTGAATTGCACCCCAAGTCGAAAACCGTGAGGGTCGAGGCACAAAGCGGACAATATCTTTGTCAGGAAAAGGTTCGGGATGTTACAATTTTCGGTTGAGTTTATCTTCGGGTTTGGCTTAGAGTTTAGATAATTGGGGTCTAGAGTTTATCCATCACCGGTTAGAGTATAGTATCACAAGGACTACGTACTCAAAGTATTGTATACTCCAGAATTGTATATGCATATCATTAAATTTTTAAATTCGAGTTAACACGAATGAAATGTGACGTCATACCACTGTCATATCATGATACTAATGTAATATGAGAGTGATAAAATTACAACAAACATTTACTTTGAGTGGTTATTTTTAGCTCAAATATATCAAAACAAATGTTATTGTGTATATCATAATTAATACATTATTTTTATGCAAGCTTATTTTGAATTTCTTGAGTTAAAATGAATTAGATCTAAGGCGGTCAGTGCTACTGTTATTAACTCTGAAGCTTCAATTTTTTGTGTTAAGAATGGAGTAGGCTTTGTTATTAGAGCACTTAAAGGGTTGTCACCTCTGAGAAACATAGGTATGTTAATAGTAAGTTGCAGATACGATATGTCAAACTAAGTGAGTTTAAGAAGGAGCTTAGAGTTCTAAATCGTGTCCATTATTATCAAATTTTAGTTCATGCTCATGATTTGAAGAAGCCACTTGAAGAACTATATAATGAAGTTTAAAGGCTCCTTCAGAAGGCAACATTAAAAGAGAGCTGGAAATCTCCAAACTGTGCTGATCATCTACGTACCCAGGCTGCCGAGGAAGCTTTCTTTAAAGAAATATCAAGATTATAATGGACAGCTGAGGCAGGCTCTAATACTGCATTCTTCCACAACATATTGAAGTTTAGAAATCACAAACATACAGGCACATGTCTTCTATTGATGATGTGCAGGGAAAACGTGATATTTTGATAACATCCAAATTGGTGCTATTTACCCTTTATATTTAGGGTCGTTTCGTGCTAATTCATGTGTATTGTCGGAAGAGTATCATCGATTGCATCCCTATTTCAATACTCTATGACTATGCCATGATTTTATGATGCTTTAGACGATATATGTGAATTAGGTATGAAAGGGCACAAATGTGGTCAAATGGGCAAGAAGCTGATGATCACAAAGCCTGGACAGGAAAGATCTCGACGAGACAGCTGACCGCGAAGCAGGAGAGAAGATCGCGGCCTAAGGCCCATAGTTCGCAGCCGCAAAAATGGATCCCTTGGGCGTGAACTTAGTGAAGAAGCCACCCAAGAGAAGACAGAAAGTTTCGACGGTCGAATCACGGTCACTGTCTTCCCTGACCGCAAGGAAGTTCACGGTCGCGACTCACTGATCTCGACCGTAAAGTCAGCCTGTGAACACCGTGAAGATGAAGACCAAAACGACGACGCCTGAAGATCGCGGGATTGTAGGGAAAGATCACGACCACAAGCTCCCCTGCTCGGTCGTGAACTTGTCCGACCTCTTGAAGTCTACAAATAGAGGGCATATATCCTCATTTTAACTTTCCTCAGTCGATGGTATAACCGAAAAAGTGTGGAACCCTTCACCTCCTGGCTCCATCCTTCCTGAACCATCTTGTCATACTCAGAGTGGTGCTTCCAGTAACTAAAATACTTGAAGATCAGAATGCCACAATGGTCCGACAATCCTGAGGGGACAGGTTACTAAGGATAAATTGGGTATGAAAAATAAATTGTATTAAGTAATTTTTTTAATAAATTACATTTTAGGTAGTTACAAGAATCTATTAATTACAATTCTCTCTTTCTCTCAATTCCATAATCTCCAACAAGATCCCCTTTCCTTATTTTTCTCAATCTTTCTGCAAAAGGAAAAAAACACAAAATCACTACCAATCCATTAGACAACCACTACCACTTTGAAAAATATCAATACCATTGCAGAAATAAATCTATACCATTACACGAAAACTACCAATATAAACAATGTATCAATATAAATTTATACCATTTCACAAAAAATCAATACCATTGCAGATTTAATCAATACCATACATGCAAATTAATACCATTACATGATAATCAATACCAATGCGACAAAAACAATACCAATGCTTTGGGGGAAAAAATACTACCACTACGAAAAAATCGCTACCAATGCGAAAAAAATCAGATCTAGGGTTTTTATTCATCCCACCTTTTCCACCCGCCTGTGTGAGAGAGAGGTTGCGAGGGGAGTGAGTGAAACCTTCAAAGCCACCATCTCAACGTACCATGCGTTTGGAGTGTTGGTTGTTGCATCGGCGACCACGTGCGATTTTGGAGATTATCGTTTGTGCTATTTTTTTAATGGGCATAAAATCAACTGAGCTTTTCTTCGCGCGGCGCCATTGACGAGAGCGAAGATGAAGAACATCCTTTGGTCATTGGTGAACAAAAAGATGAGAACGGCGGTGGGTGGGCTGGTGAAAGGCGACTGGTTGGCTATGGGGAAGTTTGCTAGAGAGAGGAAAAAAGACATATAATAATTTGTTAGGATTGGGATAATTATTAGAGATTTGAAAAATATATGGAAAGTTATATTTAAAGGATAATAATCCAGTGTGGTTTTTTTTCCAAAATTAACCTCAATCAATCATGACCGTCAATTTAAAAATGCTGAGAATGGAAAGTGGAGATATAGGTAGCCACGATGGCTACCAAAAAAAAGGTAACCATCCTAACCCATTCCTACACTGCTATATTAAAATTAATATACTCATAGAATATTAATTTTAATAATTGTTTCAATGAAAAAAATCATTTACTCTTTTTAATGCACTTAACTATAAAATAAAAGGGTCATACCGGTGTACTCCTGGAGTATACTATACTCCATGTACTCTTAGCGAGATATCTCTATCTAGACTTTAAATTAAATTAAGTTTGGGCATGATACTATACCCTAACCTCTAATGAATAAACCTTAGCCTTTGATTCTCTAAAACTCAAACTAGAAGTTAAATTTCATAAAAAATGCTAATTGATCTTTGAGATTGACTGGAGCTCAAAAAAAGAAATCTAACAATCAGATCATTTATAGTATACTATACTCCTAGATAGGGATGGCAACAAAACCCGAACCCACGGGTACCCACCCGACCCAACCCGGTCAACGCGGGTAAAATTCGTGTTGACGGGTTTTGGGTCGGGTTTGGCTTTAAACCCGTTCACTATTCATCGGGTTGGGTTGGGTTTGGGTTTAGGTAAACCCGACCCATGGGTACCCGCCCACACCCATATAATTAATTTTCTCGGTATATTTAATATTCTAAACAACTAATCTTATTTATGTTTGTGGAGACATGTCTAATTTTTCTTTCTAATTGTGTAGAACGAAGTTGATGTTATCGAGTGGAAAGTGAAGAAACTTAATTGAAAGGAAGAAGTTTTCAATTAATCATGTTATTTATGGATAATTTATGATTTGCTTCAATTTTCTTGAGTTTTCTAGATTGGTGTTGAACAATTTGTATAGTTAATTTGTGATTTGCTTGAATTTCTAGAATGGTGTTTTATATATGAATAATTTGTATTGAGAGATTGATATTTGGTTTTAATTTTGATAGGAACTTGTTATTGTAATTTTTTACGATAAAAACCCGTGGGTACCCATGAACCCGCGGATACCCAGCGGGTTGGGTTGGGTTTGAGTTTTTCAAATCCAGTGGGTTTTACCCCGAGTTTTTTTCACGGATAAACCCATGGGTTTGGGTTTGGGTTTGGGTTTGGCAAAACCCGACCCAACCCGACCCATTGCCATCCCTACTCCTAGAGTATACCGGAAGTATACCGGTCATTACCTCATATAAATAATCACTGACGGACAGCAAAAAGCCAAAATCTAAAGCAGAGAAGACCACTCTGCTTTCCTTTTCCGTGAAAGTCCCATCACACTTCTCTCCAACCAAATTTAATTAACCAAAAAAAATTAATTAACCACCTTTTGCTGCAAATACTAAGCACGAAACTAGCATATATTATTCTACAATTCTTTTCTATTGTTATTTTTTTTATCCCGTCAAACAATTATTTTTTATAATGGATTATAGTACAAAAATTTTGGGTATCTTGTCAACGACTCATTTTTGTGGAACCATTAACAATCATCTCATTAATCATTCAGATAGATAACGTTTTCTAAATTTAATTTAGAGAGCTATATTTATTTTGTTTTATGTCATATTTCTTTATTTTAAAAGAAAACATTTAATTGTATCCTTCAAAATAACATTTATATTGATATATTTTTATAGAAAAAATTTAGATATATATTACTAGTCTATGCCATTGTCATAGGCGGAGCCAAGGATCCTGGGATGTGTTACATGACACAGGTAATTTCTAGGGTAACAAAAAAAGTAGTCCAAATTAACTATTAAATTCATGACATCTAGGTAATAGAAGAGTGTTATACCACTAAATTACAACACATTTCTTATTTAAAGGCATACATAAATTTAATTTCAC